GTTTTACATTTTTAGAGTTGCTATTTTTATATAATAATATAGGTTGGTTTTAAGGGTGTACATTTAAGAATAGGTTCTAACTTTGGTATATACTAATTGTTCGTGATACATTTGACGTATTTGTAATACCTAAGGAGGTAATTTAATACATTTTGTATACCAACACTATGAACTATATGTGTGGTATATCCATGCGCAAAATGTTAAGTATCTTATGTAGGTACACTATTTTACATTTTACATTTTATTAACTATTAACTATTTTATTCACTACTCGATTCATTACACATACAATAATTTACATCTTATAAGCCTCTTTAATGTCACTGGAATGTGACCCCACATCTATTTCACAATTATATCAATGAATACAGTTTATGATTTATTTTCAATTATAGTATTAGCTATTGTTTCCACGGCTATATTTAACTGTTATTTGCATTAAATGTAATATCTCTTTTGCAATACACATGATGCGTGTATGATTCATTGCTGAATACTATTTCAATTGATATCGCTATATTAGTACGCACGTGTGTTCGTTAAATATATTACTGTCAATATTTATATTGATTCCACAGTACAATATTGTAATTAGTGTACTAATATGAACCAAAACTCTAATTATTTGTAACTGTTACTCATTGTTGTATTATACCATACAATTTTTCGCAATTTATTAAATTTAAAATTAGAAGACAAAATATCAATACGAAACATCAACATGTCTAATGAAACAGGAGAAAAAAAACCATAACACTGTAGTTTTGATTTTTAGAAAAATAAAATACATTACAATGCGCCTAAACTAACGAAAGACGACGATGATTGTTAAACTTGTAATGAACTACCTATTTACTGATAAAATAAAATTTTTTTCGAACGGGAAATGCTTTTTGAATTGTGCTGCTTATTGGGACACCCAAAAAATATATATCCCCAAAGACTACCGTTGTGTGTGTGTGTCTCGAATTTCTATTAAATTCAAGTATTTTGTATTTTTTTAATAATTAATAATTATTATAATTCTTAATACTTCGATATACTTACTCATCTACTCATCATAATTTTTTTGTTTAMAACTTCAGAACCTTTTGAACGTTAGGAGTAAGGGATTTTCGTAAACTTTTATGATTTGAGCAATAAATTATGTTCACGTTATTAGTGTGATTAACATTATTGGTATTTGACTCTTGATTTGTA